TAAGTAGTTAAACCCTGGACAGAAAGAATCAATGTACAATTAGAAATACATAAAACGCCGATTGAAAGGATGCAGATTACTAATTAAATACTTAATCCATTGCTTTATTTTACTTTTCCTGTGCTCCCAATATGTGACAACTAGGAGCTATAACGCATTTATGTAAATGAATAATACTACTACAAAGAATATAATATACTTGGTTGCTTTAGATTGTTTTATTCGTAAAAAGAAGTAAGAAGATTACTTAACTGAGTTGTCAGCGTTTGTTATGCGAATTAAATATACAAGTCTTAAGAGATGAGAATGGTGCTACTATTGAACAAATTTTCTCGAGGAGTTAAAGAGGCAACCTTTGCAATGACAAAAGCTCTCCGACATGACTATAATTTTGTCTAAATTGTTAAATTCTTTTCAAGTAATCATATCAAAAGTATGTTCAAACTAGGGGTGTACATGGACCAGGTTAATTCGATTTTTATCGAAACCAAACAAAATCAACTATATCGATTTGGATTGGTTCGTTCTGTCAGTTTTTTTTGGGTTTTCGGGTTTTTTTTGTTACATAAATATTATTTTAACCTTACTTTTTAAACTTATAGACAAAGTTTTGACAAGTGAATATATATTTACTGAAAATTAAAAAAACCGGCAAACTTATGATCTATTAAGTATTAAGAAGTTAAGGCTAGTGACATCAGCTATAGGCTATTGGCCTTTGTGAAAGCTCCTCCTCAATATGTTTAATCCCTTTCCAAGCCTCCTCTTCGTCAATGATTATGGGTCGCAACTTCGTTAGCTAACTAATTGATCCTCGCCCATCTTTGGCTGCCTGTTAGGAGGATTATGTTGGACCTATGCGATCTCGTTACAACCTTCTTTTTTTTACAGAGATTTCTGGTGAAAACTTCAATCTTATTCTTATGGGAGATTTTCTTTTTAGTAATACATTATAGTTATTTTCTTAATCGTTAACAATAATTTTTCGTAGACGTAGGCTTTTAAGATTAACCGAGTTCAATAATTAAACATAAAAATTATTATGAAACCTAAGCAATGATATGCTCTATTTAATTTTAAAATTATCTAAATAACATTTCAAATTCGAAAAAGATATAAGAATTTAGTAGATTTTGACATACGAATATGATAGAATAAAGAGATTGATGCATTTCAATAACACTAAATAAGAAAGTGATGATACAACCCATTATTTAAGGTAAATAAAAATGGATGCAATTTATTGTAGTATTAAATATTACATTTCATGAGAGGATCTCAAATATTTTTAGACATTTTAAAAAAATTTTATATAAAATCTTAAAAGTACATATATAAATATATATTTATATGTTGGTTTGGTTCAGGTTTTTTTACTCGATACCAAACCAAATAAAACTAAAGCTAATTGGTATATTTAATCCGTTCGGTTTAATTCTTCGATTTAGTGTGGTTTCCTGGTTCGATTTGGACACCCCTAATTCAAATTATGGGTGACAAGCAGTAGCCTGGTACAGCCAAAAGGAGGGGAAATAAGTAAAACAGAGCTAACGAATTTTGGAGCCAAAATTAATGATTTTTCTAAGGTTATCCTTATGTTGTTCTTTAGACATGGATTTAAGTTGCAAGTTTAGAACAAAACGTTGAAGATATAATTACCTAATTATAAGTGTACTTTCTCTGACAAACTAAGCTTTTAAACAAGACAATTACATGATTCAACCTTGTACTAGAGCAGGTAGAGAGAATTTGTTAAAGACATAATTAAGTAATTAAAAAAAAAATAATCCAAATAGTCATCAATCCAACCGCTTAAATTAAAAATAACTGGTGGAGATATAACATATGCATAATTTATGGAGTATATTATATGTCTATAATTATATATAATCAACATATAAACTATGTATATGGCTAGAAAAAATAAATAATGAATATGGCCGTATATTTGTGTAAAGATCCCTTAAAAATATACTATAGTTAACTGCCTATACTTTTACATGAAATAATTACACAATTTGATGAGGTTGATGAGTCAATTTTCAGAATTTCTCAACTTTTCCTAATGGGCTTCCAATGAGACAGAACGTGAGCATGGTGTTGGACTTTGGTCCATCTAACGTTATGGGCCAGTCTAAATGGGATTATCATACATGTGTGAAGTGATTGAGAGATGATACTTGGGCAAGTTACATATTTGATCAGCCAGCCAAATATAATTACATGTGCTAGCAAATATATAAAAATTATACCTACTGTTGTTTTGTAGGGGTGATGTAGTTTCAGTCCAAATGTTATATGAGTGTCTCAAGAGTTTCTCCGCATCATCAGGGTTGGTGGCAAATATTGATAAAAGTTCTATCTTCTGTGGGGGAGTGAGCATGGAGATTCAACAGAAGATACTGAATTGCTTGGGGTTTACAAAAAGGGAATTACCAATAAAATATCTAGGTGTACCCTTGAGTAGTAAAAGAATGACTGTGATGCAGTGCAAGCCTTTGCTGGAAAAACTGTTAGGCAGGATCACTTCTTGGACTTCAAAGCATCTATCCTATGTTGGTAGGATACAATTGATTAAGAGTGTCCTATTTGCAGTTCAAACATATTGGTCTCAAATTTTTATTTTGCAAAAAAAAGGTAATCAAGATAATAGAGGCCACTTGTAGAACCTTTCTCTGGACAGGGACTGCTGGGGTATCTAAAAGAGCTTTATTGGCATGGGAGAAGATATGTTTGCCCAACTCAGCTGGAGGTTTAAATGTCCTTGACATCTTTAACTGGAATAGGGCTGCTATTTCCAAACTATTGTGGAACCTGTCTAAGAAGAAAGACAAGTGGGTCCAGCGGGTACATATTTACTATGGGAAGAAGGAGCATGTATGGGAATCCAAAACTAGGCAAGCTCCATGGATGATTCAGAAAATACTAAAAGCAAGGCAGTATATTGAAGAGGCTGGATTGAATATGGATGACTTTCTAAACATGGATAGATTTTCCATCAAAAAGATGTATCTCAGATTAAGAGGCAACTATCCAAAAGTGACTTGGAGAAGATTGATATGCAATAATCAAGGGTGTCCTAGATGGTTATTCACTCTCACACTGGTCGCACATGGGAGATTGAATACAAAAGACAAGCTAGTTAGTTGGGGAGTAAGAAATGAACAAGTATGTACTCTCTGTGAGGAAGATAGTGAGAGTATCAACCACTTGTTTTTCAGTTGTGTGTGGTCTGTTAATGTTTGGGTTAAGCTTCTGCAATGGCTAGGCATTCACAGAGCTGCTATGTGTTGGCAAGATGAGCTGGAGTGGGCTGTTTTGCACATGCGAAGAAAGACTGTTGTTGCTGCTATATACAGGATGATGCTGGCAGGATCTATCTATTTTATAAGGCAGGAGAGAAATCTGAGAATATTTCAGGCCAAAAGAAGAAGTTTTCAGGTGGTTACAAGGTTGATTGTGCAGGTAATGTTTTGCAGAGGATCTATGCAGTGGCAAGGAAAATGGAGCAGTACAACTACTATCCTTAGGAATATATGTAATAGTCAGTCTTATATGTGATAGGTAGTTGAGGAGATGAATATAGAATTGCTGAAACTGGGATCTATATTCAGGTTCAGTTTAGTTTGTGTTGTACAGATGTTCATTGGTAATAAAATTCCTTTATATATATGTATATATACATACATACATACATATATATATGTATATATACATACATACATACATATATATATATATATATATATAAAATTTAATTATTAAACAATAAATATTTTTGTATTATTGTTNATATATATATATATATATATATATATATATATATATATATATATATATATATATATATATATATATATATATATTACCAGCTATTATTTTTTGAAGCAGCTATAATATATAATTTTTCCATGAAATTAGCAGGCAACATGATAATAGGTGAATTTAATTATGATCACGCCTTAAATAACCACCTTCTTGTATAGTTTTGATGCTAAAAGTGATAACAAAATGCTCTTATTAGTGCTTTTCATGATTTGCAGGTGTTATATGTTTAAGGAAGGCTAAGGAGCAGTTTTGGAGTCAAAAATTGGAGAAAAGAGGCCAACTGTGAAATTCCCCAAGTAAACCACGCAAAACAGGCCTAAAGATTCAGAGGACTAAATAAAGTAAGCTAGTGTATCTCGGGAGAGTGCAATAGTAAATTACTGTGATTACTCGGGAGAGATTTACGGTAAGATTAACGTTCATGATTGATAGAGATGTGTTGGTAAATTTGTATGAGCATAAACAGAAGGGATTCCATCAATAGGGGAAATTATTGCCTTAGCTTTTTATCATAATTGTTTACAACCTTATTAGTTTAGTTTACAGCTATTTAGTTACTTGCAAGCGTAGTTGTTAAAGAACATTCAACTGAGATTTGAATATTTGCGAAGCTGGTTCTGAAGAATTAGTGGGTCTGAAGATAGTGGTTGATAGGTTAACTCTCTGTGGATTCGACCCTGGGCGTAATACTCGAATTATATTTACAACGTACGCAGAGTCCTTTTTATAAGGCGTAGTTGGGCGTAATCACAACACATTCATAGCAAGTTACTAGAAAAGAGCAACTGTGACACAACAGGAAAAAGATTCAATACAATGTTAAGTGTAAGCAGAATTCTACGACATTTATTTGAAAATTTAAAAAATGGAAGTGATTGGACAATTAGGCAGAAGAAATCAATGAAACCTCTTAATAAAGGCGACTTTCACTAATTAAATATGTTATAGTTCATGAAAATAAAAGAAAACCCTTTTTTCTTTCCTTACATAAGTAAATTCTCCATTGCACGATTTTCCCATGAACGGATCAGTCTAGGCCCAGTTCCAATCCGTTTGACCTAATGCTTATGTGGCTACTACATAATTTTGCTTTGTTGCTTGGGCTTTAAGTTTGTAATCAAGTTTCGAATCCATATTGCATAAGCATAATCAAATGTGTATCCAGAATCAGTTCGTAATTTCATATTCAAAGGAAACGCAACAACATTTCCTAATTAGCTCAAGATTTTTAAATTGTACATTTATACCAGATACATCAAAAAAAATTGGAGATATATAACTTGTGAACATCGGTTTCTTGTAACCCAAGTTATAACCACCACGATATGTTCTTTGAGTATCCGTAACCTTAAAATCCTCACTCCGTCACTATTTTCGTCCATAAATCAACCAGCCATGCCATGACATAGGCACTACCTAGAAATGTTTATCTTCTTGACCTGTCAGTTTTGTAATTAAAGACTAAACATTTTTCCATCTCAATCCAAATCCATTCTCCAAAATCTAATCCATGCAACAATCAATTACGTATTCTTTTGTCTTACCCCCCTTGTCTCTCTCTCTTCCATCACCTTTTCGACTTCTTGAAGAGGCACACCCCAAATAAGGCAATAACCCCTAACTCTCTAACTAAGCATTCGATTAGCCTCCCGATGACTTTTGTATTCATAGACGGACCTAAGATTTAAATTTAATGGGTTTAAACTTGCACTGGCTAAGCATTTGATTAGCCTCCAGCCTGTAGTTGTATCACGTGCCATTCTCGTGCTAAACCATTCTTCACGAAACATTAAACCCGTTCAATCAAAGTAGCATCTACGTGAATAATCTTGTAGGATATGCTCTTCATCCTCTTTTTCCATGACTCATTCCCCTTTTCTTTAAACACAGTATATATATAAAAACGATACTACAAGCATTATTCACTCCTCCTTTTTTTCTGTTTCTAATTCAAGTACTTTCATTAGAATATTCGCATTTCAATAATTCAATTTTTCCTCTTTAATCCTCAAGCATCTAACATCTTTTTTCAAAATAACTGCACTAGCTAATTCTGTTCTGCTAATTATTGAAGGAACAAAAATGTATTCTGGTTTTAGCAGAAGGAAGCGAGTGACTGACCCGTTAGATGAAAAGGTGAAGGCTCAGATCATTGGCCGTGATAAATATGAACTCGGTTACTTTAGCAGCGGAAGTGAACACAGCGCTCACGCCGATCCTGCCGATGATGTCGCTTCTCCTAGTTTCTCCGATCTCGTTTTCGGTTATCCTAAATACAATGGCCAAAACGAGTCACCGGGAAATGATTCAGATTCTGATACCGACGTATCAATGTATGAATCAACGGACACGATTGAAGATACTCCGAAGCATATTTTCCAAAGGGATCTCGATTTGTACCGTAATGTATTGGCGTCTTGTATTGCTAAGGCATTGGTAGTGTTTTCATGTGCAAAATCGAATAAATCGATACTCCAGAGGAATGTAATGGCATATTTGAGAAATTTTGGTTACAATGCGGCAGTTTGCAAGACAAAATGGGAGAGTTCCGGTGGACTTGCAGCCGGAAACTACGAGTTTATTGATATTATCAGATTAGATTCCACTAATCGGATCATAACTCGTTACTTCGTCGATCTCGATATCGCAGCTGAGTTCGAAATCGCGAGGCCGACGACTCAGTATGAAAAATTACTACAGTCATTGCCGAAGGTTTTTGTTGGCAAAAGTGAAGAATTGAAGCAGATATTGAGAGTAATGAGCGACGCGGCGAGACGGTCGCTGAAAAGCAGAGGCCTTCACATTCCTCCGTGGAGAAAACACCGGTTCATGCAGAACAAATGGCTCGGTTCGTACAAACGGACAACTAATATCATGCCGTCGGCAAACTCGCCGGCGTGGTTATCACCGTCAAAGGATTCAAATGGAATCAAGTGCAGGACCGTCGGGTTTCACGCTGCCGCCGTGAACGGCTGTCTGTTGTTTCCAGCCGCGACAACCCGTACTAGATGAGATAACTGCAATTAATCAAATCTTTGAATAACTTATTAATAGTATTGCTTATTGTTTGTTTCATTTCATATTACTTGTATTTGATTAGACTTGGAATTTATTAACAAGATTATTTGATTTGTACTTTGTAGTTTATAGTGACAGAACTGTTCTGAATGAAAATGTAAAACTACTAATTGAAAATTCATTCGATAGGAGATAATTTTATCCATGATCATTGAACTTTTGTATTTATTATCCAAAAGTCACTTTTTTTTTGTTACGTAAAAATCATTCAACTTTGTGTTTATTACACAAAAGTTACTTTTCTTTCTTTTGTTACACAAAAATCATTTTACTTTGCTCTAGTTATCACAAAAGTCATTTTTTTACTTGAAAAGTCTATTATGCCCTTGATATTATATAAACCTACATATTTATATAATACCTTCTATATTATATACTATATACTATATTTTTAACTATGTATTTTATTTATAAATAAAATAACTTAATATTATTTTATTTATTATTTTTATAATATATTCTTATATTTAATTTTTTCTTAACTTTAATTTTCAAGATATATTAGTACCGTTAAAAAATAACTTTTTTTCAGCAATTCTTTTTTTTTTTGAATTTAATTGACCAACCATAGTTGGTCGGTATGCCCTTCCGACCTTTAAAATACCGACCACACGTTAATGGTCGCGTTTTGGACGGTTATTGGCCATTACCGACCAATTTTGGTCGATTTTTTGGACGATTTTTCCCTAATTTCCAACAGTGTAATTTCCCAAATAACCAATTGCCCAAGTAAATCCCCAAGAAAATATCCCCAACTAAATTCGCATGTAGTACCTAGGGATTTTCCTTTAAATTAACATATGATTTGTTCCTCATTTTCTTTGTTTGCTTACCTACGAATTTTCTCACGGAAATGTACTTGCCGATTTATTACTAATATATATTAAAGTTACAGATAAATTTAATAACGCTATTAATATATTTTGAAAATTAACGAGAAAAAATTAAATATACGAATATATTATAAAAATTAACGTTAAGAAAAGTGACTTTTGGGTAACAAACACAAAAGTTCAATGACCATAGATAAAATTAACTCCGATAAGAACTATTTACAAGTTTAAAACAGTTTGATGAATAAATTGTTTCAATTATTATCATTAACCAAATATGCTGAGTAATAAACCAAGAATAAATATTGACAGTATTCCGATTAACTCTTTAATTTACACAAGGACAATGCTTTTGCATCGAGCATGTTTTCAAAGCTGACATATTGGTAGTATTCCGAGCAGTTCTTTAATTTGAAATTTTGCTTGAAAAAGAAGCGTTGTAGTTGCCAAATTGATACATGAACAAGGGCAAATTTTAGAAGTCAATCTATTAGTACTAATCAGATTATTAAGAGTCATAATTTTAAGTCCATCAAATTGGGATAAATTAATATTAATGTGATTGTTTAATTTATCCACAATATGTACGCGACAAATGCACAATGCGATTTGTGTGCATTGTCTAGGTAAGGTTTCACGTGCCGTTAGATATGGAAAAGTAGGATTTTGTTTTTAATTCATTGGTCAGAGCAGCTTCTTTGACAACATGGAAAATCCAGTTTCAAAATCGGGCAGCTGATCACAATTCACAAACAAATAAGATATCCACGAGTTGACGAGGCAAGTATTTGTTAGAGCATTTTATATTTTAGAAAAATGCATTTGTTATTCTTTTATACGAATTTCTTAAGTAATTTATAATGTCTTGGACCACTCCACTTGTTAACTTTTAAGGCTTTGGGTTGGACGCTCAATTTATTTCACGTTTATATGGCAGCCTAAGTTCCTCCACTTTTAACTCGAAAAATCTGAATTAATCTAGTCAGCAAATTTGAACATTGAATGACTTAAAAATGAACTAGAAAAACAGAGCGGATAGCAGTATTTAGCGAGACTAATTAGCTGGAAGAAATATTTAAATAGCAAATAGAAAAGAAAAAAAAGTGTGCGTTGGGTGGGTGGGTTGGGGGGGAGGAGGCTCAAATTGATAATGTATTTTTTAAGAGATCCGATAAGGCTATATCTATTTAATTATTTTTGACCTTTCAAGAGGAGTAGTTGGCTCTTTGGCTGGCTTTTGCTACTTGTGTTTAGGGTATTTCTAGGAGCTCTAAGTGCCCTTCGTAAAGTATAGATAGCCCCTCTTTGAGGGTTTGTTATTTGTTACAGAAAGGGTCAAAATCCAGTGACTTTATGACGCTTTAGGTTTTGTTTTTTTACAAGTGGCAGTCTCCTATTTGAGTAAAAAACTTGATTGATATGCTGTATTGGTTCTGTTCAAGATATAAATATTATTTATTTATTTAATTGGTGGTATTTAATAAATGAGAAGGTTTGTGATCTGGCTATTTCCTTGTTGTGGCAAAAGTAGAATAAAAGTGTCATTTGTCTTCTTGTTGCGCTTCATATTTAAATGTTTATCTTCTGCTTTCTGGTGGCATGAGTTATGCTTACGGATCCAAATTTGCATTTCTGTTTAATCAAAAGTGAAAAGTGTTAATTATAAGACATGTTCTTTGGATTTCTAATCCCTCCTTCCCCATAAAGAAGTGTACGAGACTAGATTTTGAGAGAACGATTGAACTACAAATAAGTATGTGCAAAATGTTCCACCAATAACTATAACTATAACGTTTTTTCACTAAAGTCATATAACTTTGTTTTCTCACACAAAGGCCATCTAACTATGATTTTTTCCACTAAAATCATATAACTTTGTCTTTTCACACAAAAATCATATAACTATGATTTCTTTTTTACCAAAATCATATAATTATGCTTTCTCACACAAAAATTATAAAAGTTTTACTAAATCACACAAAAATTATAGTGATTGAAAAATATAATTTTTCACTAGTATTTTCTTATTTTGTAAAATTTTATTTTCTTATTTTCAGCCTAATAAATAATAATTCAATTAAAATAGGAATGACTCGACCCGACCTGGACCACCCCACCCAATAATCATATGTATAAATTAAAATAATACTAAAATCGAATAGTAAATCCTTCAAAACATAATACTTCTATTGTTTATTTTTCTTTTCGAGATTTTTATTCAAATTTATAGCATTTTTATTTTAAGTACTCTGTAATTATACCTTTTATTTCTTTATTTCTTTTATCAGAATCTCATGTATTCCGAATTTAATTTTATAAGGGGAAATAATTCACTTTTAGTAAATAGGTTTGACCCAACTTTTAAATTATATATATGAGTATTGAGTCGGATGAGTCAGGTCGGGTTGGGTCATTCCTATTTTAATTGGATTATTATTTATTAGACTCAAAATAAGAAAATACTAGTAAAAATTTATATTTTCCGATCACTATGATTTTCGTGTGAGTTAGTAAAAGTTTTACTCCCTCCATTTTAATTTATCAGAACCTATTTCCTTTTAGTCTGTGCCAAAGAGAATGACACCTTTTCTTATTTGGAAACAATTTACCTTTATTCAATGATTTATAACCCCATAAAATATAAGTACCTCATTTTACACCACAAGTTCAAAAGTCTTCTCTCTTTTCTTAAACTCCGTGTCCAGTCAAATGAGTTCACATAAATTGGAATGGAGGGAGTATAATTTTTGTGTGAGAAAACATAATTATATGATTTTGGTAAAAAAAAAAAATCATAGTTATACGCTTTTTGTGTGAAAAGACAAAGTTATATGACTTTAGTGAAAAAAGTCACAGTTATATGATTTTTGTGTGAGAAACAAAGTTATAGAGAGGGTACTGAGATTTTAGTATTTTTACTATAGTTTTCTCACGGCGCATGTTACGTTAGGGTTACTAACGTGCGCCACCAGTCGAAATGGCGAGGAAAAAGCAACAGGCTGCTCCGGCGCCGGCCTCACCAAAAGCTAATGAAAGTACATCTAGACAAATAACACCAGAATCCGGTGTTCCCCAAACACTAGAGCCGATTCAACTGATGAAATGGATGCCAAGGATGGGGAGTGCTCCAACAATAATGCAAACGGCGATTCCCCAAGACAGGAAGAGACTCCACTAGATCCAGAAGTAGGAGCTTCAAATGCGGCAAGGAAGCTCACTTTCTCGGCCAAGTCTACTGAAGTCAGGCCTACTATGGTGGAAGTGGTTAAAGGAAATCGACAGCAACAATTGGGAATGAAACTTGAATACTATCCACTGGTGCTGAAGGATGGTGTCAAGGTAGTTAAACTGAACCCACAAGATATTGAAGAGCAGAACCAGAAATGGAATTTAGCTTTAATTGGGTATGCAATTGGAGGAAATCCTACGTTCAAGGAGATGCTAAATGTGTATGGAGTATGAAATTCAGTCAATACCCCTCAGGTATTTCTTCATAACGATGGGTATTTCATGTTCAAATTTGATTGTGAGGAAGATAAGAATACAATCCTACAGAATGGGCCGTATACCTTCAATCATAGACCTCTAGTGCTCAAACAATGGTGTCCAGATTTTCACATGAGTAAGGAGCCTGATCAAATCATTCCTATGTGGGTAATGCTTCCAAACTTACCTATCCAATTTTGGACTACTGGAAATTTGGGCAGAATAGCCAACTGTCTAGGGCGACCAATTTGTACTGATAAGCTCACAGCATAGGAAGACAGAATTGCTTATGCTAGGATGCTAATAGAAATGGACATATCAAAACCATTACCAGACGAAATTCATTTAGAGATGCCCAATGGGCAATGTCGAATTCAGGTTGTGGAATATGAATGGAAACCACTATATTGTCAAGACTGTCTACAAATGGGACATGTCACAGGCAGCTGTAAGAAGGAACTCGAAGACAATGTGTTAACTTATATGAGTCCACCAAACTATAGAGTACCTGGTCCTCTATGAGTTTCCCCTGAGAATACTAATGAAACAGTAAGTAAATGAGACACGGGATTTTTACGTGGAAAAATCCCACTCAAGGGGACAAAAACCACGACCTACCCTTGTAGGCTTTCAACTTCACTAACTTGTAAACACTCTATTACAAGGCACTTTGTAATGACTCTATTACAAAGACTTCAACTCAACTAACTTGTGATACACTTACCACAAGCCACTTTGTCACTCACTAGTTACAAAGACTTCAACTCAACTAACTTGTGATACACTTACCACAAGCCACTTGGTCACTCACTAGTTACAAAGACTTTAACTTATGACTAAC